TGGTGTAGGTGATCCTCTTGTTGACGCCCTTCCCTTCACCCGTAGCCAAAGTGATCTCAAAGGCCTGTGGAGGGAGGGGACAGGGAGACGCTGCAGCCACTGGCAGATGCAGCCACTGGCCCCTTCTCCAAGTATCCCCTGAGCCTACTGTGCACTGTGCCCGGCCTCAGACATGGGGGACCCCACAGAGATAAGACAGATGCTCTCTGGAGCTTCCATCTGGGAGACAGATGGCACAGGAGTGAACATTTGTGCACCCAGCCCTGCCAGGTCAGACCCCTGGGTCCAGTGGCTGAGTCACAGGGCAAGTTAGGGGTCCTGCAGTGCCTTGATATCGAGCCCCTGTCCCCTAAGCCTGCGCCTGTCACACATACATACCTTAGAGATGAGCGGCTGGCGGCAGGAGAGGCACACGAGCCAGGAGGCCACCAACTGATGGCAATCCACGTCTACCAGGTTGAGGTGGATGAAGCGGCTGCCAGCCCTGAGGGGCCTCACGCCAACATGCAGGTCCTGCACACCCCGAGGAGGCAGCACAAAGACACCTTTGGGGTCCGTCTTTAAGGGCAAGAGACGCTGGTCAGGGCAGAGCCTTTCCCGGTGCGCAAGCAGAGGCTCCCAGATGCCTGCAGCCCCGGCAGCCAGGGGCGCCCAGGGTCACAGGTGGCTCAGGGGCGGCCAAATCTGAAGCCACAACCCAACCCTGCATCACTGTGGCCGTGGCTCGGGGCTGCACCGGGAAGTCCCTCCCCCCACATGGTGACTCAGCACTGCCTCCGCATAGGGAGAACCGAAGCCATCTTGGGCTTAAAACCTTGGCCAGCTGGTGGGACCTGGGGCCTGCCCACCCTGTCTAACTGTGGCTTCATTAACACCAGAGCTCCTGCCACTGTTTACCTTGCAGGAATTCTGAACACTAGCCTTTGGGAGTTGGCGCGTCCATCACTCACCCCACAATGGCACATCTAACGAAAGGTGACTGCCAGGAAGCCTCTGGTGACAGCGTCTGGGTGCTGGTGGCACCGTAAACCTGCCGTCGGGACCACCCACTGTGCTGCAGCTGAATGCCCATCGCCCATCTCCAGGCTGGGGTTGGGAAGAGGCTCAGAATAGCCCCCAAAGGGGCCGTACCTTCAGCTCCTGGGGGTGCGAGGTGAAAGCTCTCACTTTCCTCACTGTCTTCGTCCCCCGAAGGACAAGGGACAGGCGGGTCAGCTGGCCTGTGACGCAGGAGACATCCACACGCTGCAGGGAGTGGAGGTACACCTGCCACGTCTGTATGGGCACCGCCAGCCAGCGATCCCTGCAGTGGGACAGGAGCTATCTGCACTTGTCCCCCAGGATGCAGCACCAACCCGTGAGAGGCTGACAAGGGCTGCCAGGAGCGCTGGTAGCAGGAAGGCCGTGCAGGGAACGCCCCAGAGGACGGCCCCAGGGAGGCAGAGCTGGGGCCTGCTGGCTCCACCCTTGGCTGCCCACCTCCCACCTACAGCAGAGGCTCTCAGGGCACAGCAGGGCTAACTGATGCCCCCACTTGTCTGTACCCAGGATGCCACCTGGCACAAGAGTGCTTAGTGTCAAACAAATGACAAGTCACACTTTGGCCAAACACACATCCTGGACAAGTGGTCACCCCCAATAAGGGTTCTGAGGCAAAGCCAAGGGCAGTGCCACACAGGAGAGAGAGCAGGGCTGGAGGTCATGCCGGCCTGAGCACAGAGGCCCCTGTTAACATCTTAGAGCCACGAGTCTGGTGCTTCATAGTAAAATAGGGCTGGGTGAAGCATCTTCATGGGCTCATGAGAAAGCCACTCTGAGACGTGTCCACGCAGCCCCTCACCCTCTGGTGGGCACTTACTGCCGGTTCACCCCTGACCCCTCCTCAGAAGTACTGCAGGAAACCTCCCAGCTCACACCAGTTTTAAAGGATTCTCACAGGGCTTGGCAATCGGACTTAGGAAGGGAGGGGAAGGGGCCGGTCATTTAGCCTGGAGGAGACAGGGCAGGTCATCCCACCACAACCCTCCACCTCGCAGGAGGGGCCACAGCTTCATGCATGCTGTTCGGCCTGGGGACTCAGCAAGAAAAGTGACAAGGAGCTTCTGGGCGGCCTTTGGCACTGTCTGGGGACAGAGACTGCCTCATGTCTTTCCCTGGTGGGCACAGGCTGCATCCGAAGTCTCTCAGTTTGTGCGTGTCCCTCTGGAATACAGAGGACGCCTTCCCCAGGCCCCGCTGGCTCTGGAACTCACAGCAGAATCCTGCTTCACAAAGCAAAGGCCCAGTAGCTCCCCCAAGTTTAGGAAGGGGCCAAGCCCACTTTCAATCCAGCAGTGGCCCCAGGCCTTCCTCCTCATCCCCCCTGCCACAGTCCCCAGATCCCCGAAGCCTGTGCACTTACGAGTAAATGATGACAAAGAAGTCTTTGATCTCCGGGCTTGGACCACTAGCTACCTTCAGAAACACGTCCCGTGGCTCCCCGGGGCCCTGCCAACCGGACGTGCAGCACATCAGGGCACACAGCCCACCACCTGGCTCTGCTGACCCCAACCAGGCCCCTACATCTGCAACTAGTCCATGCAGCAAGTGAGGGCCAGCCCCTCCCAGAACGAATCTGTTCACGTTCTAGTCTGAATTCACTATTCTGTTCACTGCCAATGAGAAAATCATGCGCTTCCTGATTCTACATGGATCTCAATAATTAGATTCTACAGGAGATTTTATCCAGTTTCCTAACTGGTCATAACACAATTATTGCCTTATCCTGTACACAGTGGTAATTAATAAGTGCCTTAATTACCATTTACTTTATTCACTTTGCTTCATGCCTTTTTAAAATTTAAATTCAGATGATCAAGGAGCTGATCTACAAGTAGAAAAAATAAAAACCCTCTCATAAAACTCTCATAAGAATGTCAAAATAGCCCTTTCGTACCTTGGGAAAGAAACCACTTAGCAGAAAACCTAAAATGAGGAGGCTCCCAGGGACCCGCAGGGAAGACAATGGGAGCAAGACCTCGCTGGGAAGGATCTGCCTGAGCCGGGGCCATGACACAACCTACCACGTGCTGGGTCTCACAGATGACATTCGGGTCGCTGCAGCGAACGTGGACTGGGGGGTCCTCACCAGGCATCCCCGCCTGAGCACCTGGAGTGGGGAGATGTCAGAAAGAGTCTTCTCCACAGCCCAGGCCTGTGGGGACAGCCCCACATATTACACACTACAGGACAGGCCGGGTTCATTACCGTGCTTAGCAAAACCCCTGCTGCCACCTTTCCCAGGACAGCATCCAAGCACTGTGTTCCCTGCATGGACACCACCCGTCCAGCACACCACGGCTCAGCTCCAGCCACCTCCTCAGGGAATCAAGCGGGTCATAAAAAGGAAGCCACAGCTCCCTGGAGCAGGGAAGCCTGCACTCGGCCGTAGGGCGCCTACCAGAAACATGCGGCCCATCAGGTGAGGAGGCGGGTGTTCCTCCAGGCACACCCGGACCTGCGGCCATCAGGTGAGAAGACGGGTGTTCCTCCAGGCACACCCGGACCTGCGGCCATCAGGTGAGGAGGCGGGTGTTCCTCCAGGCACACCC